TCCCTGTGTTGTATTATGTGGTCTCAATGACCTCAAGGAAGAGGGCAGGTTAAGTAAACCAGTGAACCTGTCTACTGGCATGGGCTGATCTGACCTGTTTTTTCTCAACTTAAACAAACTGCTTTGCTCATGTTCCAAGTCCCCACTCTAGTGCAATCCAATTTAACAGCATAGGGCAGTTAACAGCTGCCTACTTTGATCTGGTTGTATGCTTTCAGGCTGGAGTTATATCCTGACATGCCAATGTCATCATACTGACTAAATATGGCAATGGGGTATGCTTTAATACTTGCTGTTTTGTGTTTAAGGGAATTTTATGGCTTGGCTAGGGCGCTAAAGTGGGTTCTTGGATCTTTGTATTTCAAGCTGACATTTCAATGATAAAAGGGGCTGTGACTATGAAAGATCTCTCAGTGATTTCACTGCCTTCGTATTCCTTTTTGTGTATGTAGCTGTCTACTAGCATTTTAGAACTTTATTTTTACAATAGAAAGTATGTTCTTCTCCAGTAGTGTGTCTCTGTTATTTATACAAGTGTATTGATTTATAAAATAAAAGAAGATTGTTTGGGTCATGATAAGTTTGTGATTTATTTTTTCTCAACCACAAGATGTCTCTTACAAGTTCTCAGCAACTTTCAGGTTTTGCATGGGGGGAGGCAGAAAGAGAACTGGATAGACTGAAGTTGAGGCTTTCAGAAATATATTATGACAATCTTCTAAAAGTGAGTTTCTGTCCTGGATGATTTATTGGTGGTATGGCTTTGGCTTGACTGCAATAGCTTCTTCTCTCATTCTTCGTCTCTATCAGCTCTCAGAACCTGTGGAGGGCCTAAAGGAATGGTTAGATGCAGTATCTACCGCTCGCATTCCTTGCGCCGCTGTTTCAAGTTTTGATCGAAAAAATGTGGTTGAAGCCTTAGAGCGAATGGGACTCAAGAAGTATTTCCAGGTTAGTTACCGTTAATTTTCATTTGAAGAGTTTGACATAGTTTTCCAACGCTGATAATGAGAGAAATAGCATGCTATGATATCATGTGTCCATTCTGAGATTCCAGCAGTTTTCTTATTTCGTATATTTAAACATATGCAATTGGTCATTGATATGATAGTTAATTGATGTATTACAATTTGAAAGGATATGGTTGCATTGATAGTGGGAATATCTTTTTCAATATCTATTGAAAATGCATTCTGCTTGTGCTTGCAATGTTAATGTGATGTCATTTCAGATATTATATCCCGAACTCATTTTTTCTCCTAGTTCTGGTTGTCGGCTATGGACTTCTGTCACAAATGTAGATGTATGACATGAGAAAATCATAGGAAATATATATTACCGGATCTGATGGCCCAGGAGCTCTTTAAGATGATGCCAAATGGTTTTTGGGTTTCAGGCAATTGTGACCGAAGAAGACGGTATGGAGTCCATTGCTCATAGATTTCTCTCCGCTTCGGTGAAGGTATGGTTTAACCATCATAAAAACTTCCTATCGGACATGCCAATTCCATATACTAATGGGAGAAAAGAATAAAGAAAGAAAAAACAGTTGAATGTATGCAATATTCACACGCTCCATTTCACTTGTTTGGGCATGGACTGAGTTCCAGTGTACCTCACTCTGTAAGTGTCAGCTTTCTTATTGGGATTAAGAAAGGGATGCTGTATTAGTACAGAGAAGCAAAAGCAGGGTTACTATTTTAAAGTTAATTTGGTTTTCACTTTGAGAAATTTTCTACAGTTGGACCGAAAACCATCCAAGTGTGTTGTGTTTGAGGATGACCCAAGAGCCATTACCGCTGCTCACAACTGTACAATGATGGCGATAGCATTGATTGGTGCTCACCCAGCGTACGTACTCACACCTTTTAGTTGTACCAGAAATCAAGTCACTCTGTTATATTGGATGTTAATCAGCAAATGTGTTTCCCTCCATCATAGAATTTAAAAGACATCAATTTTGCTTCATAATTGGAATAATTTTCTCGTTTTCATTATAAGTAGCTTTGTTAAATATTTAATTTCTTTTGATGGCTTCACCTGGACAAAAGATCTAATCATTTGGTGCTGAGAAAACTAAAAAAAATTCCGTGATGACTCAATACCCAAATGCATTGTTATTCATTTGAATTATTTATTATGGTCTTGAACCATTGATAGCGTGGAAAAAATAGACACTTCTAATAGGTGTAGTCAGAAATTGATGTTCGAAGTTGAAAGATGCAGGTATGATTTAGAGCAGGCTGACCTCGCAGTTGCTAGCTTTAATGAGCTGTCTGTAATCAACCTCCGAAGATTATTTTCTCAAAAGGGCTTCACTTTCATGGAGCTGCAAAAGCAGATAATAGAGAAAGCTCCTCGCAGAAGGAAGCTTACCATTGATACCATTTTCTGATCCATTTCCTTTCTGTATACAGTATACTCCTCCTCATTCTATTATTTGTATTGTAAAGTTGTGATTAAGGAGCTTAGGCATCTCATTAATTTTAGTACTTTCTTTTGTTTCTTTTATGCCATTATTTTTTTTCCCACTTGTGTATATGAAATTTGCTACAGAAAAATGAATAAAAATTACTCTCTCGGGTAATTGGATCATTATCTAAGTTTCATTGATCAGAATGCTACTAGAAATAAGCAATTATACTTTGGTGTAAATTAGATGTTTTAATTTAACTCAAGTCACAATGGCTAGTCGTTAAACTCAAGGGAATAGTCGGTGCTCAACAATCTATATCCAAAAAAATAAAAAAAAATAGATGTTTACCCTTGGTAGTTATAATCTTTATCAATTGTTGCAATCGTGGAGTCAAAGGTGGGAGTATTAGAACGTGGCCGGTCTGCTGGTTGGGCCTAAGGTTTGGGGCGATTGGCAGTGGGAAACACAAGCTTCACGACAGTTAGAAGTCTTTGAATGTTAATTGAGTCTGAGTTTTTAGAGCTTTGATATGCTCAGGCTCAGTTGAGTTTGGTTGTCTAGTTTGAATTTGTGTTTAAGTTTAGATGACATGTTCAAGCTTGTCAAGACTGAATTCATTTTCTGTTTATTATAATTGTATAGTCGAAGTCGAAGACAATCTCTTTATTAGCAAGAGTGCGCCTTTTTCATTAATCAAAAGGTGCTTGAGGGGTTTATCTGTTACAATATGTCACATAATAATGGATGTCAGTGTAATTTCATAAAAAACAAGGAGTGCAGTGAAAGTGTTAGAAATAATAAGGGGTATCAGTATAATTTACCCTTTTTTTTTTTAGAGGGGTAAGTTTCAATCTGTCTAAGTTGATCTCGATTAACCAGTTAAAACAGAAAAAAAAAACAGTTTGTTGTCAATTAGACATCTTGATATCCCCATAAAGTTGTTAGCCTACCTCCTCTGTGGAAGTGATGAGCTCATGTGCTTGTAATGAGTAGGCTCTCTCTTGCCCCAATGGGGCAAAGCTGGTGGCTTATAATTTGGCTAGTTATAGGTCCCACCCTAACCATTGTAATGAAATCAATTGTTTGATATCATCCTATTCTATGTTTACATCAAACATTTGGGAGAGTTGGGGGTAATCTAATTCAAATTTAAACGCAAACCAAACTCAAACTCACCGTCCTATATATATGTAGGGATGGCCCTTCTTGGGGCTAAGAATTTGGGTTGTTGAGTATAGGTGGTGCCTTGAGTCATGGTAGTAGAGGGAGAAGGAGAGAAGTGTTTTTTTTAAATTTAAAATTTTTGTAACATAATTTTCAATCGGGAAAATATAGAAAATATATTTAAAATTTAATTTAAATTAAAGTTGACTGATCATAGTTATTGGAAGGAAATTGGTGATCAAATCGGACTTTTGGATAGTCAACAAAAGATCTATAAGTTGATTGAAATTAATTTTGCAATATCAAGGATTCTCCATAGTTTCTTAAAATTTGGGGGGATCAAGTACAATAAATGTAAATCTCAACCGTAGTTTATGTAAATTATTCGAATCCCAAGCTGTCTCCGTTTGTGTATATACTAATGAAGCTGTCATTGATGCCTTGATTAGCAATCTTGTGCAGTGAATGTTACAAGATCATAACGGACATGGAATCTTTTCCAGGAATAAGCTACTAATTGAACAGCAGATTTCCCCCTCTCTCCCCCCTCTCTCTCTCTCTCTGGGTGATACGCCGTAGAAGTGATCCAAACCGGCGCAACCTTCTCATTCCTAGGAGACTCCATAAAAGGCCTTTGCAAGACTGTATTTTGTCTCTATTTCTCTATACAAACACCTCATTTATCTTCTCTCTCTCTCTCTTCAAGGTTTGGGATCCATCCGAAGCTCTTCGGTTCCTGAAGGTACTTTTCCTTCAACCCATTTTTCATTCCTAAAAAATTCACTAAATTGTGAGTCCTTCTTTGATATGGGTGATTATTTGAATCATGGGTATGTTTATATGTACATCATATAGCAGCATCAGCAGATTGGGTATTTTAAATTTGTTTTTTCTGAAATATACATCTTGAATTTGTTCCATTTGAGTGCTGCATATCTAGGTTCTTCTTCTTTTTTTTTTTTTGTCTTATAATTTTTTGAGGCTCAATTTTGAAATCTGTGGCCATGTTGGAGATGTATTTGCATATATTTTTTTCAAAATTATGTCAGTTATTTAATATGATGTGGTGATATGGTTATCCTCATTGAATCAAGCTGGTTGCAGCTTCGATCATGTTAATTGATGTTATGTTGTATGTCCACCATCTTGTTTTCTTTCATTTCTGATGGATCACATGTCTGCATTTTCTTTGTAAGCTGGTTGCTGAATTTAGCATATTATTGTGTTTTATATATGTTATTTATCAGTAACTAGGGCAGTCTTAAAACATTTCTGTTTACTCTTCAAGGATGAATCCATTTGTTCAGAATTTACAGTTGTATTTGCAAGGCAATTGAATAAGTTTCCCGCAAGATTGTTAATTTTCTCTGGAAAAAATGACACTTGGTTTCATTTGTTACAGCTATACAATTTGTCATTGACAGCCAAGTGTCTGGGAATGCAGAAAGATGTGCTTGGACGCTGATTTTTCCTTCTTCAAAGCCTGTGAGATTGTACATCAATTGAGGGTGCCCCAACTTGTTCTTGATAATGTTGGACACCCAGATCCGAGCACATTTAATATTTGTACTCAGATGCACAATGAAGCCACAAGGTATAATCTAGCTGTTGAGTGGAAACACGACCTGGGTGAAGACGGTTGAGTTCACCAAGTTGATCGACTCTTACCCTGTAAATTATTTGTATCTTAGCAGCAGGAGAACATCATTTGTAGTCCTGCTCTAGGGTGTGATTCAAAATGGAAAATAAGGGTAATGTCTTGATGCCAAGATATGATTTTGGGAGATTATTAGGCCAAGGAAACTTTGCTAAGGTTTACTATGGGAGAAATCTCAAATCTGGCCAGAGTGTGGCCATAAAGGTAATTGACAAAGAGAAGGTTCTGAAGGTTGGGCTGATCAATCAGACCAAGCGAGAGATTTGTGTCATGGGAATGGTAAAGCACCCAAATGTGGTGCAGCTTTACGAGGTTATGGCCACCAAAACCAAGATTTACTTTGTCATGGAATATGCCAAAGGTGGTGAGCTCTTTAACAAGGTGGCCAAGGGAAGGCTCAGGGAAGATGTCGCTCGGAAGTATTTCCAACAATTGATTTGTGCTGTCGATTTTTGCCACAGCAGGGGTGTTTATCACCGGGATTTGAAACCAGAAAACCTGCTGCTGGATGACAATGGAAATCTGAAGGTATCAGATTTTGGATTGAGTGCACTTTCTGAGTCTAAGCACCAAGACGGGTTACTCCACACAACATGTGGGACCCCGGCCTATGTTGCTCCTGAAGTGATAAACAGAAAAGGCTATGATGGGCCCAAAGCTGATATCTGGTCTTGTGGGGTGATCTTATTTGTTCTACTGGCTGGTTACCTCCCATTCCATAATTCAAATCTTATAGAGATGTATAGGAAGATAAGCAAGGGTGAGTACAAATGCCCTAATTGGTTTCCATCAGAAGTGCGTAGGTTCCTGTCAAAGATACTTGATCCAAACCCAGACACTAGGATTAGCATTTCCAAAATTATGGAAAATCCTTGGTTTAGAAAAGGTTTGAACTGCAATTACGTAAGAACCAAAGTGGAAAGCAAGGGAAAGGTTGCACTAAATGCTGATCCTGTTTCTGGTCCTTCTGGGAATAACATTGCTGCTACTAAGGCAAAACTGGAGTTGGCAAAGCCAGCTAATTTGAATGCCTTTGATATTATCTCTCTCGCAACAGGGTTTGACTTGTCTGGTTTGTTTGTGGAAAATGACCAAAAGGAGGAGGTGAGATTCACATCCACACAGCCTGCCTCAGCTATCATATCCAAAATTGAGGACATTGCTGGGCATCTGGGGCTGAAAGTAAAGAAGAAGGAGGGAGGATTGTTGAAATTGGAAGGATCAAATGAAGTTATTAATGATCCATTGTCCATCGATGTGGAAATATTTGAAATCACACCATCCTTTCATCTGGTGGAATTGAAAAGGTCTTGTGGTGATACATTTGAGTATCAAAAGATGTTGAAGCAGAATATAAGACCAGGTCTTGAGGAAGTTGTTTGGGCCTGGCATGGTGAGACACGAAATCAAGAGCAAGGATGATGACTACACCAGCTGCTATCTTTCGATATGTTCTTATCAGAAGTTGTCTGATGTTTGTATAGGTACTTCACCATAATTTGCAATTTGTTTAAGCTGTGATTCCTTGTGACAGTTAGTGTTTGTGAGTTTGTTAAGGTACGTGGCCCGAAGGAATCTTCTTATTGTTTCAGTTGTGAGCCTTCTTTGTTATCTAATATCAATTACCTGTATTGTGGTTCTGTTGTCTTTATAATAATAGTTTCAGTTTTTGTCCTTGCTTTGGCCCCTTGGTTGGTGCTCATAAACTACTCTTAGCTCTGTTGTAATCATTATAGATACTTCTCATCAGGGCTGATAGTATACAAGTGAATACCAAAGAAAAAAAAAATAAAGGGCATCAAGCAGATTATAGTCAGGAAAGCAGTGGAACCATCTAAAGTGTCTTGCCCTTGACCTATGTATGGTATTTCTCTGGGGGTCTGGTGAATTTCTCACTGATAAGGTGGTCCATTAGCTTGTCCTTAATAGTTTAATGGCAGTGGATCAGCTTTGCTTTGGCTTGTTCAAGCACAATCTGTCTGGCCCAAGCTCCTCATTGAATTGATTGGTTGCTCTGTGCCACAATGCTTGATACTACTAGCATACAGATTGGCCATTAACAATTGGTGAAATGGGTTCAGAAATTTCTTGGGAACTTGGGTACACATTATCTTCTTATTCTTGGGGGTGGGGTCATATGGTTTTTAGAATCTACTTC